ACGGAAGATTGCCACAGTTTGAAGTCCGAGCTGGAAAGTTTGGCCCGAAAAGGGATGTTGAATGAATACATTCAGAACAGAAGTTTACCAAAGTTCGTCAAAGAACAGGGACAAGCCCAGGGGTCCCGAGCAACAAACAACAGAGATGGGGTAGGATACGAACAAGCACCACCACCTATCCCACCCCCATCTAGAGTCATTCACATGATAACTGGTGGGCCCGAAGCAGGAGGCACAAGCTCCAAACAACAAAAGCTGTACGTGAGGGAGGTCAAGCACCACAATGCAGCTCAAAAAAGAAAGATGGACAAGGAGGATTGGAAAAATCAGTCTGTGACATTCACTTCGGCTGACTTCGAGGGAGTTGTCACCCCCCATAACGATCCATTAGTCACCTCGGTCATCATTAACAACTGCGAGGTCCAGCGAGCGCTCATTGACACCGGTAGTGCCCCAGATATAATGTATTACCATTGCTTTGAGAGCCTCGGGCTCGACCCTGCCCTCTAGCAAAAGTATGACGGGCCCATCTACGGGTTCAATAATCAGCCGGTACCCGTGGAAGGAGTGCTGCGACTCAACGTGGCATTCGGCTCTAGACGAACGTATGTAACACCCTCAGTCAAATTCCTGGTAGTGAAGATGGCTTCATCTTTCAATCTCGTCATCGGGAGGCCGACTTTGACCGAGATTCGAGCTATAGTGTCCCAGTCCCACCTCTGCATGAAATTCCCTGCACCAATGGGGATAGCAACCTTGCGAGGCAATCAAGAGGCGGCCAGGCATTGTTACACGACCTCCGTCACGAGGTCACGAAGAAGTAAGGAGGTAGTCCAATCACCAGAGTCACCCCACCTAGAGACCCCGAATACCCAACAGGTAATGGGTGTATAGCTGCCAGATAACAGACCAGAGGATGAACCAAGAGCCACCCCAGTCGAGGAGGTCGAAGAGGTACAACTTGATGATAATGACCCATCCAAGAAGACTCAGATCGGCACGAAGTTGACTCCCATAGAAAAAGAAGAGCTCGTGGGCTTCCTAAAAGCAAATAAGGATGTGTTTGCATGGACCTCAGCTGACATGCCTGGAATCCCAACTTCGGTGGTAGTACACAAACTCAGCACTAATCCTTTGAGGAAGCCAGTGGCACAGAAGAGACGGCTTTTCGGGGGGGAAAGACTCACAGCCATTAAGGAGGAAGTGAAGAAGCTCTTGCAAGTAGGGTTTATCAGGAAAGTAGATTACTGCGAATGGATTGCCAACCCTGTCATGGTAAAAAAGTCAAATGGGTAGTGGCGCATGTGCATCGATTACACCAACCTCAATGACGCCTGTCCTAAAGACTGTTATCCCATGCCTAGCATAGACAAGCTGGTAGAGGCCGCCTCAAGGAATGAGAGGTTAAGCCTCTTGGATGCTTACTCGGGGTATCATCAAGTCCGCATGGCACCCGAGGACGAGGTGAAAACCTCATTTTATGCCGGAGATGAAATATACTGCTATGTGATGATGCCGTTTGGGCTCAAAAATGCAGGAGCAACATACCAGAAAATGGTCACAATCGTGTTTCGGGCTCAAATTGGCAGAAACCTGGAGGTCTATGTAGATGACATTGTTGTCAAAAGTTCTCGAGCAGAAGACCACTTGACCGACCTGGCTGAGACGTTCAACAACCTTAGAAGGTGCAGCATGAAGTTGAACCCAGCAAAGTGCACTTTCGGCGTTGAATCAGGCAAGTTTCAGGGTTTCATGGTTTCCAGAAGGGGGATAGAGGTCAACCTTGAGAAGATAAAGGCAATAGAAGAAATGAAACCGCCGAGGTCAACCAAGGACGTGCAACGTCTAGCAGGGAGAGTAGCAGCACTGCACAAATTTATCTCCAAATCAGTAGATAAGTGTCTGCCTTTCTTTAAGGTCTTGAGAACTGCAGCTCAGAAGGACGAAACGGGAAAACCCCAGAAGTTCAACTGGACGACGGAGTGTCAGGTGGCTTTTGACGAGCTCAAAGCCTATCTCAGCTCGCCGCCTCTGCTGACTAAGGCTTAGGAAGGTGAAATCCTTTATCTTTACCTCAGAATATCTGATACTGCCGTCAGTGCTGTCTTGGTCAGAGAAATGGGGAAACAACAGAAACCAGTATACTATGCCAGTAAGGTGCTGCAGGGAGCTAAGCAGAGGTACTCAATAGCAGAAAAGGCAGCCTTAGCAGTTGTTGTTACTGCAAGGAAGTTGAGGCCATATTTCCAATCCCATCCTATTATTGTGATGACTGATCAGCCTTTAAGACAAATTTTGCAGAAACCAGAATGCTTTGGGAGACTCATCAAATGGGCATTAGAGCTGGGAGAGTTTCATATAGCATTCCAGCAGAGGTCGGCAATCCGAGCTCAAGCTTTGGCAGATTTCGTGGTCGAATGCACTTCTAATCAGGTGGAACCAAATTCTGAGGCAGAAACATGGACCCTGTATGTCAATGGATCATCTAATAACAAGGGTTCAGGAGCTGGAGCAGTATTAACTGGACCTGACAGCTTCCGGAGTGAACACGCTTTGAAGTTCAACTTCCAGGCCACAAACAACGTGGCCGAGTACGAAGCCCTCCTCCTGGGATTGCGTTTAGCGGCCGAGCTCAAAGTCAAACGCCTGCAGATTTACAGTGACTCACAGTTGGTAGTTAACCAAATCAATTCTATGTGCGAAGTCATTGATCCCATCCTGGCAAAGTATGTAGCCGCAATCTTTGAGCTGAAGAACCGTTTCGAGAAATTCCAGCTTACAAAAATTCTGAGAACAGAAAATGAGCATGCAGATTCTTTGTCGAAATTAGTATCTAAGAACTCTGGGGAAGCAAAGTCTGTGTACATCGAGATACTGAATGAACCGAGCTTTCAGACGTCGGGGGTGATGAAGATCAGCACTGACCCATATGCTCCGAGTTGGACAGACCCCATCCGGGAGTAGGTACCGTCCCAGGGGACAAACAGGAAGAGATGAAGTTGCGAAGAAAAGCCTCTCGGTACACCCTAGTTGGCGACGTTCTGTACAAGAGGTCCTACTCGTTACCACTCCTCAGATGCCTGACACCATATGAAGCAGAGTATGCACTAAGAGAAGTACACGAGGGGGTATGCAGTAGTCACGTGGGAGCCCGACTCTGGCACATAAGGTACTTCGGCAAGGGTACTATTGGCCTAACATGCAAGAAGATGCAAAGAAGTTCGTGCAGAGGTGCCAGAAATGCTAGTTCTTCGCCCATCTCACCCATCAGCCAGCCGAAGAACTCACTAGCATGACTGCACCATGGCCCTTTGCTCAATGGGGAATAGACCTTCTGGGCCCCTTTGTCAAAGCAGTAGAAGGAGCAACGCATTTAGTGGTCGCTGTTGATTACTTCACCAAATGGGTAGAAGCCAAACCTCTCTCTTGTCTGACTTCGAGAAGAATCGAGGATTTCCTCTTCAGCTCGGTCATCTGCAGATATGGGATACCAAACCAGATTATCATTGACAACGGCCCCCAGTTCAATTGCAACTCCTTCAGAGACTTCTGCTCCAGCTACGGGATTAAGTTGGTGTTCACCTCCGTCTATCATCCCGAGGCCAGTGGAATGGTTGAATCAGTCAACAAAGCCATCTTGGAAAGAATCAAGCCGACGTTAGATCAGCTGAAAACAAAGTGGGTAGATGAACTCAACAACGTCCTGTGGGCTTACTGGACAACAAGCCGAACTGCCACAGGTATATCCCTCACTTTGATTCTTTTTTCTATCACCTTATTTACAGTTACAGACTACCCTTTAAAGTAAATCCTAAAGTTAGTCTCCTGCAAATAAGCGAAACGCCCTACCACCTAGCCTTCGGCACCGAGGCAGTCATTCCTGTCGAAATTGGTGTCCCAAGCCTAAGAATCAGTCACTTTGAACCAGCTCAAAATGAGCGTCTACTAAGGGAAAACCTTGATTTCCTAGACGAAGT